CCCCCCCCCCCCCCCCCCCCACCTGCGTGGACCCTTCCAAACGAACGAATCGCCGAAGGTGCTCGTGGTGGAGTACAGCCCCGCCGCAGGAGTAAGGGCCTACGCGGACCGCCGGAGGCTGTGGCTAGGGGGGTGGTCGGACCGCGACTTGATCGAAATGCTCCGCGCCTCGAGGGGACCTGGCGAGGACAAAGACGTCAAGAAGGAGAGGGATAAGGTCTGCAGGGCCATGGCCAGGGCATCGGGGAGCGAGGTGGTGGGGGGCGAGCAGCAGGATGAGGATGAGGAGGAGGTGGACACGGTGCTCATAAGCGACCTCACGAAGGTGGGAAGCGATGTTTGTGAGAGCTAGGCAGCCGCCTGTGCGGTCCCGGGCTGGTGCTGATCGCTACTATATTATCTTCTGTGGCTGTGGTTTCTCGCTGCTACCGCAGCTGCTGCTGTGTATAGGGCGTTTGAGCGGAGAGAGAGGTCAACGCGATGATGGCGGCAGGGGTTGTTCTCGTCGGTGTCGTTGTTGCAGGCCCTACTAGCGATTGGCTATTTTTTGCGACGGACAGACTTGGTTGTCCTCGGCCACAAGACAGACCGACGCGCGTGTGGGGACAAGGTCATCGCTTCTTTGCAAACATTGCGCGTGGGAGCTTGTCGTACATCTCGGAGGGAATGCTCTGCAAAATTTCGTGATGTTCTCGCTCTATCCCGTCCGAGAGCTCTCACCCGGAGTGATGCGCACTCATACGAGAGCTTCGCCTGCGGTCGGCGGCCACCGTTCCTTGTCGATACATACTTTGTGCTGTCGTACTTGCGTGCTGCTGCGTGTACGTTGAAATCTTCAACGTCTCTTTCATTTTTTTTTACAGGTGTACCCGGCCCCCCTGAGTTCCGCCCAGCAGCGGCCCAAGTGCGCCGTGAGGGGCCTGAGCCTCGGCGTGAAGCGGGGGGAGTGCTTCGGCCTGCTAGGCGAGTAGCACCCCCGCGTTTGTGTGGAACACCGGCACGAACGAGGCCCGCTGGCATGAGTCGTTTCCTTTGGTATTTGCCTATGGACGCGTGCCCCCCAAACTACGAGATTTGTTTTCCCTGATCTTCAGAGTTTCGCTCAATAGGTGGCGTGGCTCTCGGCATCCTGTTGTCGGGCAGCAGCTCTTTTTCCGAGACCCTTGAGGCCGAGACCGAGCAACCGAGCAATATCTATCCTCTGGTACACGTACGGGCTTAAAGCGGAGCCGCCAACGCGGTGTCAGCACTCATGGACGGGGCACCGCCGCTCTCCTCGTTCGCTCGCCTTAGCGCCGCAAGTAGCGCCGTCTTCAAGAAAATGACACGCAGATGTTTGCATTTCTTGCTCAGTTTGTACCCGGAACAAGAAGGGGGGCAACTTCGCTGCAGCAACGGAGTGAAACACTTTTGACACTTGAACGTTGTCCCCGACTGTTTTTTGCCTTATTTTGAGCCTGTGGCCCCCTGGTATCCACACACTCCTATTTCCTCCGCTCGATGGCGCCCTCCTTTCTTTCAGCCAACCAACTGCTGTAGCGCGTCAATTTGGCCCATTCGCAGCTTCTCCTTCCCCTCAGCCAACCAACTCGCTGATTCTCCTCCCGTTGGGCAATACCGGCGACTTTCGTGCGCAAACGTCCCCGTGACGACGCCATGGCAGGCATCAACGGTGCCGGCAAGTCGACGACGCTGCAGATCCTGACGAGAGACCTGCAAGCGACGGCCGGGAAGCTCACCGTGAAGGGAAAGCCCATCACCTCGAGGTGCTTGATTGCTTGATTGACGCAAAGCGTAGGGCGTGTGCTTGGTGTGGGATAATGTAGATGTCTACGCGGAGCGGCAAGCTGTGGGGCGGGTTTCTGTGTGCGCTGCTTCCGATTCCTTTTCGCGAGGCGTGATTCCCGCTCTAATCCCGTTTCATTTGCTGCCCTATGCTCCGAACCTCAAGTACGCTGTGCTTTTGTTTCCTTTAGTCGGTGTCCCCCTCTGGTTATCGCTTCCTGCTGACTGGTATGTACCGCCACGGATTGTAGTCCGCGTCACCCCATAGATCGACCCGCATTTGTCGTTGTTGCTGGCGTCCAACACTGGTAGTGCTTCCGCTATAGCGCGATTGATTCACTGCTGATTTATCCCGGACTCTGATCTTACGATAGGGATGGATTCTTCCAGTAAGGAACTAAACAAACTCTTGCACGCGCGTGGACCCCCCCCCCCTCCCTACCGGACACCTGCACGTAACGTTTCACGTGAAACAGCGCGGTTTGCCGGCTTGTCGGCTACTGCCCCCAGACAGACCCCCTTCTTCCTCTCATGACCGTGCACGAGACCCTTCTGTTCTACGGCGGTCTGAAGGGGATCGGGTCCGAGGGGGCTCGCGCGATGATGGGTGAGAACGCGCGCTCGCCGCTCGCTTGCAGTCGCATCATCACGCCGCCGCCGGCGCCGACAAATTGCAGAAAGTATCATACACCCATACGGCAGCAGCGCCTACTATTTAGTAGGGGAATTGAAGGAGAAAGTAAACTGACTTGTCCCGGCCGCGAAAAAAAAATGTTTTGCAAATAGTTCGGTTTTAACGAAACCGGGTTTATGGAAGTACTTTTGGCTTATCCTGGAACCGTAGCCGCTGCTGTGCTGGATAAGGCTTCACCTGGTATGCATTGTAGTTTTGTCTGGGCTTGTCCAACAGATTGGACGAAACTGCTGTACACCATAGGTGATTCCTCGTTTTTTTCAATTAGCGGTTAACTGTTCCAAGAGTTGAGTGCGGTTCGTGGTGGGTGATGTTGACAATGTTCAACACTTCGTGCCTCTCTTGAGCATTGGCCCAAAATTTGTCGTGTAGCGTTACGTTGTTCCTGTACGGGAGCAAGGGGGCGAGGGTCGGGTGTGTTGGATGTGATGTTGGTTAACCACACACCGTAGGTTTGTCGCATGCAACAGGCATGCATGATTCTCGCCCATTCCGTCCAAAACTAGCCGCTGTCAAGATGCAATGACGCCCTCCCCCCCCCCCGGTGTTTGCCATCGGGATTGGGTTTTCGTCGCTTGGCAACTACGTTGTAAAACAAGCCAATTCATTTCGTGAACTCGGCAACCAGGTTACCGGTTTTCTTTTTACCTCCGGTTTTTTTGGCGGTTACCATAATGGTGGTCGAGTAGATCATGTTGTGCGGGGTGGAGAACCCTCACTCCGCGCAAGGGGGATGATCGCACCACGTTGTGTTAAAATGGTCAAGCACCCTCGAGGCAGTTACCCAGTGCTTACAACTGTCTCTGGAAGTGAAAGCACCAGAAAATAAATTAAGTCATACGCAGCTGTCATCCGTACGCAAGGAAGTAAGCACAAGATGCCGAACACCCTTAGCAGGATGCAGCGCACCCTTCATGCGACTCGCCGAATATCTCACGGCGCTTCGCGCTTGGTGATGTGAGAGCCTGGTCCGGTGAGAACCCGGCGTGCTCCGTCCCGGCTTTGTAGGGATGCGAGGTCAATGGTCTAACGACTACGGCATGCACGACTATGAGTACGACTATGAGTACACCCCCCCCACCTCCCTGTTTAGCTTGACATTCCCGCCGACCTTGGCACCCTATCGATGTCTGCTGCTTCGCACCACGGAAGATCGTTTTTGCCGCCGTTTTTTAGATGACGGCGAAGGCGAAAGCGCGCTCTACGAAGCGGCGGCGGCGGCGATGTCCGCCGTGAGCCTGGGCCCCACGGAGAACCAAACAGCGGGGACACTGAGCGGCGGCAACAAGCGAAAGCTGTCGCTGGCGGTGGCGCTGATTGGCGGACCGCCCGTGCTGCTGTTGGATGAGCCGTCGTCTGGGATGGATCCCGGGGCAAGAAGGTGATGGGGTAGTTTTTGGACTACGGCTGCTGCGTTCGGTTTTCGACCGAAGTATTGGTTTTGTGTTGGGCAAAACGTGTTGCTGGTCACACACCGTCGGCACAGTCTCGAGGTGCAGTCGTATTCTCGTGGGTTCGGTCTTGCCAGAGGGCGCCCAGGCGGATTTTGTTTTGAGGCGTTGCGCAAACCCTGTTGTCCGACTCGTTGGTTTCAGGGCCGTGGCTTGCCCTCTCTTTGAGTGGCTCTGACGTGGAGGCTAGGTTGGTATCCTCTTTCCGGCCCAACTTCACGATTTTCCGTAAAACCACACACCTTACTTACTACATGTAATAGCACGAAGTGTGTGGTAAGGGATGCTCCGTTTCCTAGCAACACGCTGCATGGACAGTCGTACCGTACGCCCGTGCTGGCGTAGGCGTAGCTGTCGCTGTTTGTGTCGCATCTTTTTCGTTCCCTGCATGTACTTTGACTCCGCGATGGCATTGTCTGCACGCTCGACGTGTCACGCTCGTGTCTGTCACGACCATCGCGATGTACTCACGCCAAACCCTCTTGCGCCCGTCTATGTGCCTTCCTCTGCTCTCTCTGTCTCCCGTCGCCGCTGCTCCCGTTGTCCTTCGTTGGCTTCTTTCCCTTTTCCACGTGCTCTTGACACCCATGGTGCTCGCCTCATCCTCTTGCCCGCCCGCAGGTCAATGTGGGAGGTGATTTCTTCTCTGTCGGCGTCTCGCAGCGTCATACTGACGACCCACAGCATGGAGGAGTGCGAGGCAGTGTGCGACAGGCTTGGCATCATGGTCGGCGGGAGGCTGCGCTGCATCGGCACTTCTCAGCATCTCAAGGGGCGGTTCGGGGGTGGCTACTCTATCGAGGTGGGTGTTGAATATAATAGCAAGCCTTTGATTTTGCACGCGTGGCAAACTTAACTTTCACCCGCTCCATCGTATCGGGTGACAAACAGCGACAGCAACAATAACAGCCACGGCGGCAGCAACAGCAACATCCTTCACCTCTTCCACGATGAACATTTTTGAAGTCCAGGTGGCAAGCTCAGGTTTAAGGACAGAACGAAACAAGACGCCCGGTGCTTGTGTATTGCAGACCCACGACTCGTTCTCCCCCAACCCTGACCTTGCAACACTTGCGACGATTCTGGCCCTTTCCTGGAGCCCGCCTGACTCTACAGCGGTGGACCCGGAGCGGCGATCCCCTGTTTAGCGGCCGGCCCCATATAGCGACCACAAAATTGCGTGGCATGACTGCTGCACCCCGACTAGTAGCCACTATCCCGGCGATAGCGACCTACCCTGAATAGCAACGACGGGGTCGCTGAACCAGGCCCACCACGCCTGTCTCCGTTGTCTGTGCAAGTTCCTTTTGTCGCACCATTTTAGTCCTGGTATTGATAACGGGTACCGCATAACCTGTGCTTGGGATATGCGATCTTTGCAGGTGCGCTGTCCCACGCGAAGCCTGTGCTTGGGTAACGTAATCTCTGCGACTCCGCTGTTTGCACTCTTGAGCCTGTGCTTGTATACGCGTAATCTCTGCAGGTGCGCTGTCCCTCGGAGTCCATGCCAAAAGTGACCGAGATGGTCGGGACCCTGTCCCCCCTTGCGAGGCTCGACGAGATGCACCCCTCGCTGGCAAAGTTCAGCGTGCCGGCGGCGGGAGAGCTTGGCGATCGACCCCCCGCCAGAACCGGCGCCGGCGAAGGGGTAACAGGGGAAGTGGCGATGATGGGGGGGCTAAGTCTGTCCAAGGCGTTCGAGACCATCGAGTCTAGAAAGACCGAACTCCGGGTGAGATTTTTTTTTTTTTTTGTGTTTGTCCTCGGTTTGATGGGCGGGATATCACGAAATCAAGTTGCTCTAATTACGTCTCCCCCACCGGGACCAAGAAAACAGAATGATCGTACTTTTTTTCCGCACTCCCCTGCTTCTGCTGTTCTGTAGGTGTGGGACTACTCCATCAGTCAGGCGACGCTAGAGTCCATCTTCATGAGCTTCGCGAAGCACCAGGAGGAAGAGGTCGCTAGTGTGCCGGGGGTGCAGTACACCGACACCGATGCCGGAGACGTTGACGCCGGCGAGCAGCACCATGGCCTATCCGCCGGGGGCAACAACCACAGCGGCGACGGCGACGGCGACGGCGACGGCGGCGGCGGCGTGCGCCAAGGGCGATCCCGTCCTCCCCAGTTGATGGACGTGGAAATGGGCAGGCTTGGGGGGGGGAAATGCCACTCCCGCGAAAGAGATTCTTCACATGAAGAAGTGGTCCGCGTCGAAGAAGAGTTCCGTTCCGGGGAAGGAGAAAATGCGGCTCTTCTTGCATGATGTGTTGCGTTGGCGTGTTTTGCCGGGGGGGGGGGCGCAAGCCCCGAAATTGTTGCTTTCAATGCGCTCGAATGTTTGTGGTTCCGATAGTCGTTCGTACGCGGCTCAAGAAAACCCCCCACGGTGTTGAAAACAGTTTTGCTTGTAGAAAGATTCACCGGGTGTGTCTCAACGTGGTGTGTGTGGAATCTTCGTATTATGTCGTCCTACCATTATATATGGTGGAGGGTAGTTGATGTTTTGGGCGCATGTTGACCCGGGAAACTTATTGCAAATTGTCTCATGTGGATGTGTTATCTTGTGCCGAATTCTGAACTGCACCTACACTGATGGTGAGCCGTTTTCATGTAGTCTGATCGCAAGACTTGTCTTATCTATGTCGGAAAGCGTTGAGTAAGCTGTCCTGTAAAGGTCTTGCGACCGGGTGTTGTGACTATGAAAAGAGAGTTAATGCAGTCGTCGTCCAGCGCATTGTTTGTTGACGTACACCATGCGCTTTCAACAATGAAGGACGAAACCAAGTTCTTGTTGAAGGACCCCATCTTGTTCTTCTGACTCAGGATTTCAACATCGCGCTATGCGGTTTCTCTGATCTGTAGAACGGCTGTTCGGCCGATCGATCGATGCGAACCTCCCGGCAATTTCGATTATTTTGAGCCCCTTCTTCGAAACAGTTCCGTTTGCTACATACATTTTGAACCAGTTGTGCCACTCCTTCACAGTTAACGTGATGAGGGTTCAATGGGTTCACCGCAGCGTAGTTGTCCATCGTATCCCAAAGATCGGAACTCTTCAGGTGGAGGGGGGGGGGGTGTACTCATAGTCGCACTCATTGTCGTGCATGCCGTAGTCGTTAGACCATTGACCTCGCATCCCTACAAAGCCGGGACGGAGCATGCCGGGTTCTCACCTGACCAGGCTCTCACATCACCAAGCGCGAAGCGCCGTGAGATATTCGGCGAGTCGCATGAAGGGTGCGCTGCATCCTGCTACGGGTGTTCGGCATCTTGTGCTTACTTCCTTGCGTACGGATGACAGCTGCGTATGACTTAATTTATTTTCTGGTGCTTTCACTTCCAGAGACAGTTGTAAGCACTATGTAACTGCTTCGAGGGTGCTTGCCCAATTGAACACAACGTAGTGCGATCATCCCCCTTGCGCGGAGTGAGGCTTCTCGACCCCGCACAACATGATCTACTCGACCACCATCATGGCTACCGCCAATAAAAAAACAGAGGTAAAAAAAACCCCGGTAACCTGGTTGCCGAGTTCACGAAGTGAATTGGCTTGTTTTACAACGTCTTTGCCGAGGGACGAAAACCCAATCCCGATGGCAAACACCGGGGGGGGGCGGGCTTGTTTTACAATGCCGTTGCCAAGCGACGAAAACCCAACGGCCGACGGGGGGGGGGGCTTGTTTTACAACGTCGTTGCCAAGCGACAAAAACCCAACCCCGATGGCAAACACCGGGGGGGGGCGGGCTTGTTTTACAATGCCGTTGCCAAGCGACGAAAACCCAACGGCCGACGGGGGGGGGGGCTTGTTTTACAACGTCGTTGCCAAGCGACAAAAACCCAACCCCGATGGCAAACACCGGTGGGGGACGGGGGCATTTGAATGTAAACGGGAGGTACGTGGGCGAGGAGCGAAAGAAAAACACAGGCTAGCTTGTTGTGCCAACGGGTCGGGGGTCGTGATGGTATCGGACATGACGGGTAGAGAGAGAAAAGGTGCCCCCAACTTTCTGATCGGTCATTTTATTGCCCGAACCGTTCCGAAGAACGGCAAAAAACCGTGGTCAGCCGATGACGTCCTCCACGGCCGAGAAGCCACTTCTCTCTGGGCGAGATTCAAGAGTTTGAATTTGACAATTTGACCATGGGCGACTGACATACATACAATCGCACCAACAAGGTCTAGACTACACTCTTGTTTGTGTCTATCTTTCCTCTCTCAAAAGGGTCGACCCAATCAATTGTATTCACTGTTCTCTCCCCCCGCCCTAGTCGTCTTCGCATGAACAATCGCATCTAACGAAGACCCAGCAAGCCAGGACGAAAACGTATATACTCGGCCGTTTCTTCGTGTTTTTGAACCCCCTTTGCACATTAATATTGAATCAGTGCTGTTTCGGGACGGATTTAAAGAGGAAGGATGTTTGCTTGCATACTCCGCAGAGATTTCAATTTGTTCGATTCTAACTCTCACACCGACACTATTCTGCTGTCTGTGGTACGTCGTGGTGATGGCGAGGGGCTCCAAATAGCGCCAATCTCGAAGTACACGTTTTCCATATTTACATCAGTCACCAAATCTGATCAGAAAGGAGACCTCGATATACTAATTACATGTAAAAAAATATGAGATCGACATACAGAGCCCACTGCCCCCCCTTCACACGCGAGGCCGAGAAAAGTCGAAATACACTTACAACAGAGAGAGGGACAACCAAACGTCACCGCAAATCAGTAAGACGGATAAACTACTTGCGGATACTAAAAAACTTAAAAAAATGAATTTTGTCTTCACTCCGGGACAATCACAAAGACATGCGGCCGCGTACAAACACCAGTACAGAGTGTTCGGCATACGTGTATGCATACATACGTACCAGAGAAGATCAACACAAACGCCGCGAGGAAAAACACCAATATACTTGTGTTGTATGTACCAGATACCGCAATATCCTTTGAGAACGTATCCCGGGGCGATCGTCTTTGTTTGGTGCAATCATACACACACCCCGTGGTTATTTGCAATTTAGTCAACGGGGGCAATCTTCAGAAAAATAACAAAAAAAAAGTGGGCTAAAAGGCCCCGGGGGGGGGGGCTTGTCTCTCTTCTGCTGTGATGCACCTACCTGCTGTACAACACACAAACGAGCTGACACGCTGACCCACAAGATATCGGAACTCAACCCACAACACCAAACAAACACCAAACCAACTAGGCAGAGGGACCAACAATTATAACCTAAACAACGAACGATACCCCCGGGGCAAACCCAAAGTTGTTGGGGTAGACTATCCTGCGATTTTGTTTCGGGGGGGACTACATACCTCATGGAAGAGGGGCGTTCTCAAAGGATATCACGGTAGTAACATTTACACCTGTCACGCCGATTTCCTTCATTTAGTGCTCGCTCGCTTATGTTTTTCTGAGGTCACGTTAACGGGCCGTCACCACCAACCAACTGGTACCATGTATGTGTGTAACGCATTGGAAACACTTCGCCCAGTGTCACCACTCGATATCAAGCGGTATGGTCGCGTGCGAGTGGTCCGCCAAACGTTATTCTTCACCCAGCCACGGATCTGTTGCTAGGGGCAGCTAAGGCCAGGCTTCCAACAAGCAATTGAAACATTGACATTCTGCGGATAATCCGCTGAAATCTTCATTCGGCACACATGTAGCCGATGGAAACGTGACCAACACAAGATCGCGAAACTGGGACCCTTTCGTGTCCGGAATGATGTGCACGCTCGGTCCACTGGGCATCTAAACACAACGAGCATCATGACTGACCCAGGACGATCGGACACGAATATGTGGTGTTGGTTCGGAGACACTGGATGTTTTTATGTTTCAAAACCGGTTGCCGGTTCGAACACGGTTCGACAGAATATCGTGCGAACCATCATGACTGACCCAGGACGATCGGACACGAATATGTGGTGTTGGTTCGGAGACACTGGATGTTTGTTTCAAAACCGGTTGCCGGTTCGACCACGTTCGACAGGATATCGTGCGAACCTTGAAGACCGTGAGCGAGATGGATGCGAGGACGGACGCCGGCGAGCGGGGAGTGGCGGCAACTCTGCAACGCCTCGCCGATCGCCTCCCTGCGTGCACGCGAGAGCTCTGCTCGTCGGAGGTGTGTGTCTTCACCCCAAAGGAGGGGAGACTGACCTCTTAAGTAGCCGTGCTGGGAAGACTGCCGTGTTTTTTGCGTTTCTACCTTCGTGATGGCGTGTGAACTCTTTTAGAAGCTCGGTTCACGAACGGCATCCCTGGCATTCAAACGGCGACTGAATTCGCGTGCCCACCCCGTGTGACTAGCTGTACATGAGGAGGGTAGAGAATGGAAATCGGTAGGTGTTGGTAACTTATACCCAGCCGTAGTCATTGGCACGTAAATATTGGCGCACGATTCGTTCCCCTAAATGCGCTCGCTCCACCCTTCTCTGGATCTCCCCGCCTTTCGCGTTACTTTGCATCACCTCCTACTTCCACACACACGTCTGTGTGTCTTTGCCATGTAACACCTTCACCTTTTATTTGTAGGGATTGATCTTGCGCAACCTTGTGCGAATTCGAGCGATGGGGAACATCTCTCTCGAGACCGCCGAGAGACAAAGGGGCGAGAGCGTCATTTCCAAGGTGCTGGACCAGCTCATCCAGGCGCTGGCTATCGTTGGCGCTCGGGCGGAGACGGAGAAGGCGACGGTCGACACGGCCAGGATAGATGCGGAGGTAGGAATGCATGGAACAAGCATGTAGTCGTTGCTTGTTGTTTTTTGTCTGTTATTGTTGATGGTAGTGGAAATGATAAAGGCTCGCGCTCCTTCCGTGTAGCCGTTCATTTTCTACGATCGGTTTACACGCTCAAGTATTCCGGTACAAGTGTGTAGTGGCTGCTTCATGATACAGATGTTGGTCTGCACATCGAACACATAATGACACAATACATTGTGATTGCCTGGACGGTGTTCCGCCCACATCGGACGACCTACAGGTGAAGCTACCCAATGCTTGCTGGAACCGTAATTGTCGGTGCAAAACATGTTGACGTTGCGTGTGCGTGCTGCAGTTCGCCAGTTTTTTAGACCGCTGTGTTCGCTTGACACCATCTGTCACTGTTCCTCTCTCGCCTTCCGTTTTTCCTCACCGATTGGTTTTCCTCTCGTCCTCGGACCTCATACCTTGTCGTCTTCTCAATGCTGACGCGAGGTTCAACTAGACCTCCCTTTCAAGGACTATCTCGCGTCCAAAAAATAACACTTCTCGGTATTTACGACACCCTCGGACCCATAGCAAAACGTCTTAGCGCCTTTGATATTCCTTGATGGGATTCAAAAACATCGAAATGGCAGGGCATGCTGAAGGAAATCCGGACGTTGGTTCCTTCCTCCGGCTCTGCTTCCGCCGCTTGTGCGGCCGTCGTGGCCCCGACTCGCCGCGCTAGCGCTCCCTTCTCACAAGTCGCCGAGAACGAGTATCGGCCGCACTCCATTTTGCCCGGCGATGCTGTGGACACCAGGTGGGCCCGCACGATTGGAAAGGGTCTGGGTGCCAATGCCTGGCGTCTACGAAACCATCCGCGCCTCAGACGTCTATGTAATTCATCACGTAGTGGCGTATTCTAGCAAACAATGGTATCAACGGTGTTTTTGCCAACATTCTCAAAAAATTTCTTTTGGATAGCATTCGACTTCCTCCCGCCAACTAAGCGGCTTGTTGGGTTCATGCAACGCAGCACGAGTGTGATTTGTATGTTGGGCAGTGTTCGAAAGATGGAACACCTGACGCAACGTACCCGTTTCGAACGCGCACTCACTTCAAGCTCTTATTCTTCGCTCGCATTGTCGGGCTTGGCAATATTTCTGGCGCCAACATCGCCGAACTCGCCGAAAAAGCCTGCTTGCCGAAGAAGAGGCGGAGGAAGAAGCCCGCAGGTCCGAGATTAAGGCCAATTTGCTGGTGGAGCAGGAGGCCGGCGTCGTGGCGGTGGCGGTGGTGGCAGACAGCCAGAAGAAGAGCCTCCAAGAGCAGCTCGACAACGCGGGGGTGACCGTGGAGGAGAAACAGGTATTTCAAAAATGCAATAGCTCTAGACTAGTGCGTGCTTGTGGGAGTATGTCATGTGCGGACGTACATGTATTTACGCAGATGAAAGCTGGACGTGAATGGGCCCACGACACATCGTCCACCATGGTCGAATAGAAACGAATGCATCTTTTTCCATGTACTCTACCAAAAACCCACGAACAGGCTATGATTAACGCTCTAACCGAAGACCAAAAGACGATCGAGGGCATCCTAGAAGGCGAGCGGGTGAGGATGGAAGGGAGCTTCAAGAACGCCGCGGCGGCGCGTAAGGCGAGGGACGAGAAGCACGCTGAAGAATGGTGCGACAAATCAACAGACGTCATTTGTGGACCGCAAATGAAACGACAGTATCCTCTCTCACTCTTCCTGTATAACCCATATCGAATTTCGCTGTGTGGCAGTGACTTGGTCGTTGCTCGTGTCGCTAGTCAGGTGTCGAATGCGTGTGGGAAAATGTTTTGCCAAAGTTTCGCATCAATACTTGTGTCTCGCCCTTCTTGGTTCCACCATCGTTGCTAGTCACTATTTGGATTTGCTTGGAGCGTTTATATGCTGAGGTGGTGAAACCGCTTCATGTTGAAAACAATTGTTTTGGAAAGTGAATGCGCTACAGAAAAAAAACGAAGAACTTGAGGCCGTCACACCTCGCCGTATCTGTATTGCACGTGGACGTGCGTTCTCTGAGATTCATACCTTAGTGGATGCATTACTTTTCTCCGCCTACCCTACCTTACTCTTCGTCTGTTTCCGGCAAATGTTCGTGTCTCAGCCAAACCAAGGCAGAACTCCTGCACAAGCAAAACGCGAAGATCAAAGAGCTACGGCGCAGGCATGAAGCGGCGCAACTGGCGGTTGCCGGAGCGGCGTCCGTTGTGGATGACGATGGCGATCAGGATCCACAAGGGCAAGAGAAGGCCGACGGCAGCGGGGACGAAACGGACCGCGAAGACGACAGAGGGGTGATCGCAGCGTTGAGGAAGGTATGACACGGCCGCTTCGCCTTGCCCACGTCACTCGATGCGGCAAAAATGCTTCAGCGGTTTTTGTGCCGATGGACACGTCCTGACAAACAGACCACCTCCCTCATAATGCCGTTCCCTCACGCGCTGACCACCAGGCCACCTCCCCGACGAGTGCTGCTTCCTTTCCGTTCCAGACAAAAGACGGCTTGTTGGCGTCAAATGAGTATCCCTCTCAATGCGTTACGCTTCTAATTTTTCAACGTCGTACGCTTGTTCTGGACTACGTTGAACAGGCACATGTGGAGCAAGTTGCACTTCTGGAATCAAGCCTGACTGCCAAGGCTAAGAGCGCGAAACACGCTGTCAAGAGCGACTGGCCGCACAGAGGTATGAAAATCGGCCCCCTCTACTCTCTTTCACAAAGGAACAAGGCAAGCAAAGTGTATGGGCACCCGCGGGACATCAGGGTGGCAAGAGATCGACACACGAGGGTAAAGAACCGGAGTATGGCTCTTCCTGTTGTATATTTCGCTCAGCAATAGCGTGTATCCAAAGTTCCTCTAGTATTTGGTAGCAGCTGCCTACTGGTCACGAAGTAGACGCAATCTTAGTCTTCTGATCCAGCTTCCACGCTCTCAGGGAGGCTTTCGCCGAACCGAATTCACTGACAGTCAATCATCTCTTGGACCATTGCCCTCATAGAAGCCTCAGCGATCTGCCCTCGTCCTACTTTCCGCGTTTGGCCATGCCGCTTGTCTGCGCCGGTCACGATAGAGCCAAGCGCGAAGCCGAGCTTGTGGAGGATGGGGCCTCTTGGTCGGAAGTGGCCATCAAAGCGGACAAGGAGCTCGCGGCCAAGGAGGAATCGCAACAGGAGGACCTAGCGGCCACGCTTGCGTCGGAGAAGTAAGCCACGACGCAAGGTTCATAGCCAGAGATTGTCGAGTCGGAATTGAAGAGCTCATGCGGCATGGGTATCACAGTGATATTTGTCGAACCTGCTCCCCACTTATTGTACTCACTTCATGTGCCTGTGCGGAGGAAATCGGGCGTCGGTATGACCTGTCACATCGACGCAACAAACAATCTGCGATTGAAACACCCGCGGGTGGAGCTTCGACAACAGGAAAGCAGTGGCTCCTGAACATATCGAAATTTGTCGGTTCGGGACAGCCAGAGTCCAATCTGTGAGATGCGCCGCGACAATATTTGAACATTGACCCAAAAGCATGAATTTGGTGTGACTCAAATCACCCTGTCTTGCCATGCCGGGAGTCATGCCCTGAAAACGGAGCTGTCTACTCAGCGGCAAGTGCGCGACGAGGCCCGCGCGGTTGTAAATGAAAACCAGGACCCCGCCGCCGGGCAGGCGGCCGCTGCGGAAGAGGCTCACCGCATACGCGAGCAGGCGGTCGAAGCAATCCAGGCTCTGGAGGTAATATTAGGCCATATTGTTTCTCTTTCGGTTCGCCCAACCTATTGGGAACGGATGAATATGTGTTCCTCCGTTGATTTCCTGCAAGGTCTGCGACGCAAACGTTGAATTTTGGAGTGGATTTGTGCGCTTTTCTCATTCTAACTTACAGAGTGCTCATGACGCGTCATATTTCCTTTCTCCGCCCCAGCCCCTTCACCCTGACACATCTCGTCGGACTAATGCGCTTCTCCGTTGCCAAAATATATTTCCGGGCAGGATGCCATGGCGGGAGAGGGGAGGATCAGGCGCAAGGTACTGGCCGAGCGGTTGAAGGCAAAGCGTCGGGCCAAGGAAGCCGAGCGGGAAAGGCATGGGGCTGGAGAGATGGAGCGGTGCAAGCAAGTCGCGGACCTGACCCGCCTCGAGGACCTACAGATTGAGGTACATTTGTTGGTCACGCGTGCCATCACCATGACGACCGTTTCATTCCCTACCGCTGTCGATCAGGATGATTTATTGGGAGGGTTCGCGTCCGAGCCGCTGTGTAGCAGCGGGCGCTAGCCATGCTATGCCTGGTGGCTGCCTCCTCAGAAACTGGCGTACGTGTATGTGTCATTCAGATGAAGTACAGGGGTGGCGAAGCCATCGACTGTGGCATGTGCCCCAGGTTTTTTGCCAAGGCACTCCTACAATATCACCAAGGATTAAAATGGATGCAACCCGAATCTTCAGTCAAGTCTCACGACCGATGGCATGCTCTCACCCTCTCCGTTCTCAAGTGTTACAGATTTTCCCCTGCCTGCCCTCACCTGTTCTTGCCCCGCATGCGGAAAAACTGATTCGCGCTGTTGATGGTGGCGTTTGTGGCGGCCTCAGGCCTTGGAGGAAGAACTTCTACACGAGAGAGTGATTGGTCTCAAGGACGTGAGAGCCTGTGCCGCTGCTGCGGAAGTGGCCGCTACAGTGGCCAGCAGCCGTGCCACCGAAGGCGGTGAGGTGGACCTGCGGGCGGCCGTGTTGGCAAGCAAGATATAGGTGAGATGATAGCTCTGATGGAGCGGCAAGGGGGGCATACACGCTTGGTCGGTACCGCATAATGACCCCTGTTGCTCCACAGGAAGTATGTGTACGTGTGGTTAACAGTATCAAACTGCATGGCAACCTTGTACTTGCAGAGTTTGGTGGTAGGCCTTGTTCGACCAACATTGTTTTCTTCCTTCGCCGTAGGTTTGTTGAGAGGGAGCGTTCGAAGAATCGATATCGGTCAACCCAACCACGAGGCTGCAGCGTCTTCGGTTGACTGACAGTAGTAGTCAAGGTACAGTCGTATTGGTCACCATTGCGACGACGTGCGATTCGTTTTCAACACACTGCACAGTCGAGCACAAGTGCGACATGTACCGCACAGAAACCAATCTCTTCGTTGCTGCAAAAATGAGGCGTTTCCTACAACGCCGATTCCGTTGGCATCCGCGTTTCCACATATTTGCAGGAACTCCAACTTGCCGCCATGGAGCAGCTGGAGAATGACATGAGCAGGAACGAGAAGAACGCCTCGATGGCTTTAAGGGAGCGTCTACAGGCGGCTAGAGCAGCTCGAGAAGCGACGCAATTAGTGCTTGAAGTACACAGCACAACCACTATTACTACCAACGCTGGGGGTACGTATTATTATACATGTTAGACTATCAGCTAGATTATCACCCTCGTCAACCTCAAGGTTTGATGGAAGAGCGGTGGCACACTTATTTGCAGCTTTCGAACGGAACATTGACGAGCGTAAGGCATTACGCCCCCGCTCAACATGGCCAACCTGCCCTTCGAAACCGGTTGTATATACGCCCCACTCTCCTGCGCTGTGTCTCACGCAGACTTTCTCTTTTGCCCGTCCCATATATTCTGGCGCCAGTCTACACATTACGCTTTATGTGTGACGCACCAGCCTGGGTCACGAAGGAGGAATCGTCCTGCGGTGAGCCCTGAGTATTGTAACGCTAGAAGCGATCTGCAGATCTCTTCCTCATTGCCTGTACTGATGACCAAATTTCTATTTGCTTTCAATACCTGGAGACCTGAACCCACATCCTGTAGAGCAAAACCACGATGATATCAACTACACCACTCAGCCCTTGTTGTGTGACCGTGTTTTTGAGATGAAAGAAAACGGACGTTGAACACCCTCCCACAGAATCCCCCCCCTCCGGTTCATATCGTCATACGAAAGATTTCGGTTAACACAATGTTTCAGATTGCAAGACAAAGAGTCTCTCTCCGCCTCAGAGGCGGCCAATGCCAGAACAGAGTTGGAAGACGGCGAGGAAAGGGCTATTGAAGAGCTGGTGAGTAATCGGTATACATCACGTTTCGGCTATCCCATTGCCATAGATGAGCAATAAGGCAAACCAAGCGAGCGTCAGATGTACTGGACGGCCCGGTCCGACCGCTCTTGAACGGATGGTGATCATACGCTGACCAATTATGGTGCTTTCCCCCCGCAAAGTCAAGTGGAAGGACCTTGTCAACTGGGGTGGTGACTCTTCCTCCATCATCTCATATGCACAATAACGCCCGCCCTGATCGCACCAACTTGCGGTAGCGTTTTGTAGCCGTGTATCCCGTTATCGTTGTCCTCGATACATGTTCACACTGACGGGCATATTCGATCCATTTCCGGTGTAGAAAGCGCCGTTTTTTACCAACTCACATGTTTTCTTAACTACGCACCTACAAAAGAACAGATGGAGGATCTACGCAACGACCGTGTCGAGGCCATCGGTCGGGCGAACCTCGATGCGGAAGCAGCCGGAACGGATTCGCCGCGGGAGGAAGCAGACCGTCTTCTGCAGAACATCGGAACCGGATGGCTCAGCTGCAAGAGGCCATGAAGGTACCATAGTAACGGCGCCGGTGGCACAATCGCTCCCCGGTCAAGCTAGGGTGTGTACGCTCCGATGATGCCAGTACCAAATTTCTATAGCGAGGCTATTTCGAGGATGCTGCCGACAGCGCAGAAGCACCATTAACGTAAGAGCTAGAGCAGTCTGTGAACCAAGGCAATGAGTTATTTTGAATGCATGTTTGTATCGATCATTGTCTTAAATAGAAGTACACAAATTCGCGTGACGAGGTCATTCTGGCAGATGCGCCTGCAAGATGTAGCACTATTGTGGCTGCCCCGATACTTGTTCATTATATAACCAACCATTCCGTCATGCTGTACCTCCCTCCCCCTCTTTACCATGCTATCCGACATGCTCTTCTCTCGCCTGTCATTTGTGCTACGATCACATGCTAATACAAACGACCCAAACCAACCACAGGTCGATGCGCAGCGCCAACAGACCAACCTCCACAAGCGTCTTACTGCTCGGCGCAAGGGCATCGACGCTGTCGTAGCCGCCACCCAGCCCGTGTCGCTTCAGGCCGACGCGCAAAGGCTGCCACCCTCGTCGACTCCGCCGAGGAGGCCGAGCGCATCAACCTTGAGCAGAGCCTCTTCGACGAGGCGAACCGCTTGCAAAGCGACGCCGAAGGGTTCGAGCAATCCGTCCAGAACACCCTGACCTATGCCAAACAGGCTGCCGCGTCAGGAGTGCACGGAGCGTCACCGGGGGCTGCACAAGAAGAGATGGCCCAGGAGGAGAAAAAGGAGTATCTGCGAGCGATTCACGAGAGGGCAATTGCCGCGATGGAGGCGCAGAACGAGAACAAGCGGCGGGCGGTGGCGGCGAGACTGGGGCAGAGGCGAGCCGCGGCCAGGGCGGCGAGGGCGGAGGCCATGCGTGCGGCAGGGAAAAGCGAAGAAGAGATCGCCAAGGATCTTGCAGAAGTAAGGCACAACCGCATTCCCAGGGGTGGAGAAAGATGTGCTGCCTTTAGAGCGAAGAGAGCCCGCACGGCAGGAGGGGGGACGGCCAAGATAGTATGGGGGTAGGTTGGAAGTCGGGTTCTGAAACCTAATATTGTCCTGTTACCTCACACTGTGCAATCGCAGCTTCTCGAAGTCAACGATAGGAGGGGAAAAACAGCTCGACCACCTGCAGACGAGGGTCCACGGTCGGTTTGGCTGAAAGACCCACCACCCGACACATTGGTTTCTGATGGGTCCACCTCCACTGTTTTCTCCCCGCCCCCCTGGCCCCCCCCCCCGGTGTTTGCTATCGGGGTTGGGTTTTCGTCGCTTGGCAACGACGTTGTAAAACAAGCCGCCCCCCCCGGTGTTTGCCATCGGGATTGGGTTTTCGTCGCTTGGCAAAGACGTTGTAAAACAAGCCAATTCACTTCGTGAACTTGGCAACCAGGTTACCGGTTTTCTTTTTACCTC